CGTGAGCCTTGGGAGGCCCAGCGGAGCGGCGTCTTAGTCTCATCCAGACGCCAGCTCGCGGCTCCCTGGGCGGCTGCCAGTTGATCGGCCGTCGCCATCCTCGTCGGCTCCTGGGAGGTCCAGCGCAGTGGGTCTTACGGTCAGAGGTGTGAGAGAGAGAGAGAGAGACAGAGATCGAGTATGGGATCGACTACAGAATTGATTAACCCCACAACTGATTTTCTCGTCGAGTTTCCAGAACAAGATTTAGAATTCCCCGTGTATTTGGGACAATGCTACGTATTCGTCATGGGTTCGATGCTGGAAATCAAGTTTCAATGTTGTAGCCGATCCCCTACTTGAAGAGAGAGAAAGAGAGAGAGAGAGAGAGAGCAACAAAAGAGAGAGAGAGAGAGAGAGGGCCGGACCTTCCCGTCGTCCCCATCCCCCCCCTCCGCTTCCGCCGCCTTCTTCCTCTGTCTCGCACGCGTTCAGGGGACTTCCCTCCTCCCCCCCTCCCCCCCCTCCCGTCTCCCCGAAGCCGCCGTCGTCGTCGCTGTCGCCGTCCGTCGTCGTCGTCAACGTCGGCGTCAACGTCAACGTCAACGTCAAGTTCGTAGTGGGTGGTCGTCGTCATCGTCGCCCTAGGCCGACGTAATCTTCGCCCTCATTTTCATCTTCGAGATGGCGATCAAGCTGCTGGCGCGAGGCCCGCCTGCGGAGCGGCCCCGACAGCGAGTATCACGGCCCTCCTCCCCCTCTTGCCCCCTGTGCTCCCCCCTCCCGGGGCTCCCTTCGACCTCTCCGATTCGATTCGCTGCCAATGGCTTCCGATCCCGATTCGGCTCGGCTTCGGATTCCCGATCCGGAGGCCTTACCAGCGGAGGCCTTACCAGCCTGCCGATTTTTCCGCCGATTTGGTTTCTCCAGACTTGGCCGCCGATTCTTCCGCCGATCCGAATCGTTTCGATCGCCGACCCGAGAGGACGGCACCCATCCACACCTGGGAGGGGCAGGTCGGTCAGCGGGGCCAAGTCTTCCCCGGTGCCTCTACGTCGCGATTTGCTCTCAAGTGCCGTGCGCCTCGACGCCTTGGTGGCTACCGAGGGCTGCGAAGGGATGCCGAGAAACTGGCACGCGGTTCTCCAGGCTAGAGAGTCTCAGCAAGGAATCCTGAGTGGATTTCGATACTCCTTAATTATGTTTCCTCTAATGTTGACGTGCGCTCCTTCACTAGTGCGCCCGCGCGCGCCCTCCTTCTCGCGACGAGCGCTTGCGGGCATAGTCAGTTTTTCAGAAAATTACCCTGGCGACATACCCAACCCATGCGCAATGCGGGGCATGAGTAGCTTGGGAGATTTGACGAGAAGGCGGCGACGTGACATGGACGCATCTATTTCTGCGAGCGGCATTCGGAAGGTTCGCATACCCCCAATCAAGGGAAACACGATGAATATCTGAGTGAACCCCTATGTCACTAAGAAAGACGCAAGGTCCAAAAGGAGACGGTGGGCAAGGGGCTTGAAACGTCGGCGGGGCAGCAACAACATGACATGGACCCCCAAGGACGGCGAGGCCCCGCTCAGGTCCGCGCGGTGCCTCACTCCGCTGGACCCACCAGCAGCCCTCGAAAGGAAAGAGCGTGTTCTACCGCTGCTGGCGGAAAACCGAGGGGGGTCACTACCGGTTCGAGTCCCCCCCCCCCGGAAAGCCGGGGAGGGTCATTACCGGTTCGAACCCCTCCCCCCCCCCAGTCCATCATGAAAAGGAGGGGGGGGTCACTACCGGTTCGAACCCCCCCCCCTCCCCTCGAAAACCAGGGGGGGCCACTACCGGTTCGAACCTCCCTCCCCCCCCTCGAAAACAGGGGGGGGGGTACGGACAGTGGTGGGGACGGTGGTGGTGGGGACAGTGGTGAGGGGACATCGGGACAGTGGTGGGGACAGTGGGACAGTGGTGGGGACGGTAGTGGTGGGGACAGTGGTGAGGACAATGGCGGGAACAGTGGGGCCAATGGGACAGTGGTGGGGACGGTGGTGGTGGCGACAGTGGTGTGGGAACAGTGGGAATGTGGTGGAAACGGTTGGACAGTGGAGGGTACAGTGGTGGTGGGGACAGTGGTGAAGGCGGCGGCGAGGACGGCGGTGGGACAATGGGACAGAGGTACAGTGGGGACAGTGGTGGGGACAGTGGGGACAGTGGTGGGTACAGTGGGACAGCTCAGTGGGACCGCGGAGGAGTCAGTGGGACAGTGGGCAAGTGGGGATAGTCGGGCAGTGGTTGGGGTCGTGGAGAAAGTGGGGAGAGTGGAACCGTGGTGGGAACAGTGGTGGGGACAGTGGGGACAGTGCGACAGTGGTGGGTGCACTGGTGGAGACAGTAGGGACGGTGGTGGAACCAGTGGGGACAGGACAGTGGTGGTGTGGACAGTGGTGTTGGGGACAACAGTGGGGGATGTGGTGCGGACGGGGACCAGGAGTCGTTTGCTGGCGGTGCGGCGGGGGGAGGGGTTCGAACCGGTAGCGACCCCCTCTCGGTTTTCGGGGGGGGGGGCTTCGAACCGGTAGTGACCCCCCTCGGTTTTCAAGGGGGGTGGGTGGGGGGGGGCTTAGGGAGGGGGGGGGGGTTGCCGGGAGGGGGGAGGGGGGTGGGGGGGGGGGTCCAGCAGGGGGGGGAGGGGTCGGGGGGGGGAGGGGCCCCCGGGCTCCGGAGGAAGAGGGGGGGGAACTTTCCACAGTAAAGCAGCGGTGGATCACGCTCTCTCTTCGAAAGTGGCGAGCCCACCAGCAGCCCTCGAATGTGGCGACAATTTCGCAAATCGCAACCCCCCAGGGACGGGGAGGTCCCGCTCAGGTCCGCGCGGCGCCTCGCTCCGGTCCGCGCGGTGCCTCGCTCAGGTGGACCCACCAGCAGCCCTCGAAAGTGGCGACAGTTTCGCAGGTGCCGCTCAGGTCCGCGCGGTGCGTCGCTCCGCTGGACCCACCAGCAGCCTTCGAAAGTGCGTACAGTTTCGCAGATCGCAGCCACCCATCAGCCCTCGAAAGTGGCGACAATTTCGCAAATCGCAACCCCCCAGGGACGGGGAGGTCCCGCTCAGGTCCGCGCGGTGCCTCACTTCGTTGGACCCACCAGCAGCCTTCGAAAGTGGCGACACTTTCGCATATCGCACCCCCCCCCAAACGGGGAGGTCCCGCTCAGGTCCGCGCGGTGCTTCCCTCCGCTGGACCCACCAGCAACCCTCGAAAGTGGCGACAATTTCGCAGATCGCAGCCCCCCAGGGACGGGGAGGTCCCGCTCAGGTCCGCGCGGTGCGTCGCTCCGCTGGACCCACCAGCAGCCTTCGAAAGTGCGTACAGTTTCGCAGATCGCAGCCCCCCAAAGAAGGAAAGGTCCCGCTCAGGTCCGCGCGGTGCTTCACTCCGCTGGACCATTCAGCCGCCTTCGAGCATGGCGACAGTTTTGCAGATCGCAGCCCCCCAGGGACGGGGAGGTCCCGCTCAGGTCCGCGCGGTGCTTCACTCCGCTGGACCCGACAGCTGACTACCGACCAAGCCACCCTAACCCAACCCGGAAACCCGAATTTGTCCAGAATTTTTGGCTGGGGGGGTATGGTTTCTATGTGTTTTGTTCGATGTTCCCTGGCTTCCCCCCATTGGACATGGAGGGACAATTGAAACCTTCGGGTTGGGTTGGGGTGGTTTGGTGGGTGGTGAACAGCTGCCCCCGAAAGTGCCGACAATTTCGCACTTCGCAACCCCCCTTTACAACATTGAGAGCGGCTCCTTTACAAAATGTGACCCTTGCTCTAACGCCGCGCACATTCATTGTTGAATGTCGCAAGAGTTGTTGCACGGATCTCGCATGTTTCCATGATCCGCGTACGTAGCACGTTGCGCTGGAGTCTCGAGAATTATGTGTTGACATGCTTCAGGATCTTCACCAGCTTGTCTTCCGACGAGGCAGTTCCCTCTGTCGAAATGAACCCTTGTAGGGGCCTGTGACGAGGGAGTTGGCAGGGAGGGTTGAAAACACCGTCGTTGATGATTCTTGGGTTTACACTTCTTTCTCTTCGTCCTCCTCTTGCTCCTCGTCCTCCTCGTCCTTCCCACACTCCTTGTCCTCCTCCTCCTCTTCCTCCGTCCTCCTCCTCCTTCTCCTCCTTCGTCTCGTCCTCCTCCTCCCCCTCATCCTTCTCCTAGTCCTCGTCTTCGTCCTCGTCCTTGTCCTCCTCGTCCTCCTCCCCTTCCTCCTCCTCCTCCTCCTCCTCCTCCTCCTCCTCCTCCTCCTCCTCCTCCTCCTCCTCCCTCCCCTCCTCCTCCTCCTCCTCCTCCTCTTCCTCCTCCTCCTCCTCCTCTCCTCGTCCTCCTCCTCCTCCTCCTCCTCCTCCTCCTCCTCCTCCTCCTCCCCCTCCCTCCTCATCCTACTCGTCCTCCTCCTCCTCCTGTTCCTCCCCCCCTCCTCCTTTTTTTCCTCCCCCTCCTCCTCTTCCTTCTCCTCATCCTCTCTAGTCTTTCTCCTCCTCCTGCTGCTCCTCCTCCTCCTCCTCCCTTCTTTTCCTCCCCGTCCTCCTGCGTCGTGCACGGCAGTGTAAGCATCGGTGCGATGCCATTCATGCTACAGGATTGCGAAGGCCTTGCGGCCAGTGCCGCCGACTTCGAATGGCGACGACGACGACGACGAGCGCTCTCAGGCCCCTCTTGGTGGTAGTTAGGGGGCCTCTTGGGAGGCTCTTGGGGGCCGCTCGGGAGCCTCGTGGGGGCCTCTTAGGGCTTTTTGGGGGTCTTTTGGGGGCCTCTTCTCTTGGGGCTGAAGGCTGGACCTCCGTAGCCATTTTGGCTCAATATGCTTTCCTCGGGGGGCCGCTGCCCCTGTGGAGACAAGGATACCGCTAGTCCGCGACAGTCAGAGCAGCATGCTGCTCGGCACTCGGCCCGCCCGTGCGAGCGCTGGCGCCTGCAGCGGGATGGAGGAGCAACGCGCGGCAGCATGGCAACATAATGTGGTCCTGCTCGTGTGGCATCATGGACAACTACGCGACGAGGAAGAAATGCCGAGGATGCGGTGCGCCAGCGCCACGCCGGGCGACAACATTCAAGCAGGTCTTGCTCGCCCCCTCGAAGCGTGCAACAGCCCTGCAGAAGAGGATGGGCGCCATGCGCGAAGAGTTCGATTCTCTCAGGAAAGGGTGACCATAATGCTCAGGACAAGGACAAGTACCAGAAGGCGCGTCAGGAGAATGATACTGCCACGCCGCACAGCTTGCAGCTTACCCAGGCGCGCATCGCAAAGGAGAAGGCAGAGAAGGAAGTCAGCAGCATCCAGGACGAGGTGCAGCAGTTCGAGCAGCAACTTGCGAACGCGCGCGAGCGGCTGGCCAAGAAGCAGGAGCAGTTCAGCATCGCCAAGTCGTGCGAGCGTCGGCGACCCCTCCCAGGGCTTCTTGGAGGCGGTGCAGAAGCGGTACGATAAGGCAGTCGACGGCAGCGGCGTCTCCCCGGTCGAGTACCAGCAGCTGTTCGCCCATCTCGGCAAGGTCATGGCCAACGCGAAGGAGGACGTTCCCATGGATCCTCCGACTGGTGATCCTGGTGGCGCAGCTGGGAGCAACGGTGGCGGAGTCAACCTCGGACCAGGACGTGACGGGCCCAAGCTTAGACAAGGTGAACAAGATTGGCTCAAGCAAGGTGGAGTTCCTGAAGGGGCCAGTGAAGAGCAAAAGAAGCGGTGGATCGAGATCTGCACCGGCCTGGCCGAGCACTCAGTCAAGCGGCAGAGGCGTTCCTGACGCTGCTCACAACCAGAAGAAGTATGACAAGCTCACGGTCTGGACGTTCAACGGTTCGGGCTGGGGCACGATCGAGGAGAAGCTCAGTGAGAATGTGCATGGGGCCTTGCAGCGCTACGCCGTGCAGGGCCATCACCTCGCGGACGACAAGTGGCCTGCGGTGAGGCGGGCGATGAAGGCGCAGGGTTGCCAAGTGGGCGGTGCCGCAGCTGTGTCGACAACGCCGGCAGCAGGCGAGGCGGGCTCGTCAGCTGGAGCAGCAGTGGCGGTACCGAGGTGCGCGGGGATGACCTGCATGTACGGCCAGGACAAGTGGGGCATCTCGCCGAAGGGAAGTCCTGGCCGAGCAGCAGCGGCGTGGGCATCGGCAGGCAAAGGCGTAGTCATAGCATCAATGTACTTGTGGACGGCGGAGGGCATGTCGTATCGGAACAGGGAGTTGGCGTCGCACGTCGTGGGGCAGCTGGAGACCTTTGGGGGCGCCGTGGATCATAGGGGGCGACTTCCAAGTGAAGCCGGAGGTTCTCGCTGAGGTGGACTCGCTAAATATTGCCAAGGCGTGCGTCATAGCGCCGAATGCGGCGTGCGGGACGTGCAGGCATGCTCACGGCAACAGCGAGATCGATTACTTCATCGTGTCCGACTCGGTGAAGGCGCAGGTCGAAGGTGCACGGGCGCAGGAGGAGTGGCCATCTGCGCCGCGCAAGCCCGTGGGCGCCACTATCAAGCCGAAGGTGGTGGAGCGAAGAGTACGGGTCTTGGGGAAGCTGAAGCCCCTGCCAGAGTTGCAGATCGGCTGTGCGCCAACGCCGCCGAGCTACCAGCAGGTTGGGCCGTTCGACGCGCAGGGGGATGCGAGCCAGTAGTGGACCAGGTACATGCGCAAGCTCGAGCAGGAGGCTTTCGTAATCAGGGGCATGGTGCGGGGCGAGAAGGACCCGCGCGCTGGGCGCGCAGAGATCCCGACGCGGAGGATCAAGCCCCTCACGCTTGGAGGGGGCATCCTTCCAAAGGCAGTTGGGCAAGCGATATGGTGGAGGTGGTTGTCCAGGCCCTTGCGCAACTTGCAGGGCGCTTGCGCGAGGTTGCACGCGACGACGGAGCGCTGGGGCAAGCGCGTGCGGGGGGCCAAGGAGCAGGAGAGGTCGTTCAAGATAAAAGGGCAACCGCATGGGGCGCATCTCCACGGAGGAGTAGAGCGCGCGGCAGGCGCGGCGCGAGTTGCTGGCGAGCGGTCGTTGGCGAAGGAGAGCGCAGAGAGACAAGTTGCAGGGGCTCTATCAGGAGGCGGCCACCAAGTCAAAGGAAGCGGACCAGCAGCTCACCAAGGAAATGCGAGCGAAGTGGGCAGAGGACCTCGAGGCGGCGGCGGCGGGCTCGGCGGGGGGCCTGCGCAAGCTGAGCAAACCGGTGGCGGTGCGGCGATCGAGGCGCGCAGACTCGACGGCGAAGTCAGCGGGCCCCTTGGCTGCGGCGGAGTTTGCGCTGAAGGAGTGGAAGGCAGCGTGGCGCACGGACGATCCGATGCAGCAGCAGGAGAGACCGTGGGAGATCGAGGCCAGGGAGCAGCTGGGCGATTTCACGGGCGAGGATGCGGTTTAGCTGAAAAGGCTTAGCGCGGGCACTTCGAAAGAAGACGGGAGTGGGTGTTGACAGGTGGCGCCCATCGCTGCTGCGGGGGGGCGTCGGGCGGGGCGTGCGAGACGCTGCTGGCCATGTTGCGAGAGGTGGAGAAGACGCTGGTGTTGCCTGTGCACATGGGAAACGCGTTGTCTTTCATGATCCCCAAGACGTTCACCGCGGACAGGGTGATAGGGTTGTTGCCAACCACCATCGGGATATGGGAGATCATGCGGGAGCCGTGCGTGCAGCGCTAGGCGAAGGAGAACCAGGGATCGTGGGACTGCACGAGTTTCGGCAATGCAGCGGGGGACGCAGCCTGGGGCGTCTTGCTCAGCCATGAGATGGACGACCCAGACGTGCAAGACGAGTACACGGTTGCGACGATCACGGCCGTTCTCGACTTGGTCAAGGCGCTCGGGGGGGTTGGCCTCTTCGTGCTCTGGGGGGCTGGCGAGCAGCTCAAGTTCCACACAGGGGTGCTGGCGGTGGTGTGCTCGTACTTCGCCATGGCGAGAAGGCCCATAGTGGCGGAGTCGGTGCCAAGCGAGACGAGCACGGTGGCGACCATCATTGCAGGCAGCAAGTTCTCGGTCAGCTTCGTCAAGATGGTCATCCAGTCGACGGTTGACGGTCTGGCGGTCGAGAGGCCCGTCGCCAAATGGAGGATGTATGTGGACGACTTGTGCGTCAGGCTCAGGAGGCAGCAGCAGCGCGTAGTGGAGGAGTTCACGGAGACCTTGGACGCGTGCTTCGAGGGAATCGACAAGCTGGGCCTCGAGTTCTCGGTAGGAACAGCTGGGAAGGGAGCCGTTATGGCAAGTACTAGGATGGTGCGGAAGGCAGCGGCCAAGGAGATGCAGAAACGTGGCCTGCCAGTGGTGCGAGCGCGCCCATACTTGGGGGTGGATCTAATCGCAAACGGGTCGGCGGCCAAGTCGAAGAGCAAGAAGCGCTTCAGCGGCATGCTTTCGCGGGCGAAAAGGCTCGTCAACCTGAAAGGCGGAGGGCGCAAGATGCAGAGAGGAACCACCTTGGTCTACAAATGCGGGCGGAAGAGGTCGGTGCTGTGCGGGTGCAAGTGCTTGGTCATGCCAGACCAGCAGTTGCGGCTACTACGACGTGAAGCTGGACGTGCGTTGCCAGGAGGACGTGGAGCTATGAGTCCCACGCTGCAGGTGGCGGTTGCGCAGGGGGGGGCCACCCTTGAGGTCGCGGAGGCGCCCATAGTGCAGTGGGCACGTGCAGTCTGGCATGCAGAGCTGATTCCGAGTATCTACACGGAAGGCGAGGTGCAAAAAATTGGGCTAAGCTCGTGTTCGGAGTCGCCACTTGCTGGACGGTCAGAACAACATCCTGAGCCTTGCTCAGGTTCGACGTCGCCACTTGCTGGATGGTCAGAACGAAATCCTGCGCGCAGCGCAGGTTCAGCGTCGCCACTTGCTGGACAGTCAGAACCAAATCCGGAGCTCTGCTCAGGTTCAGATTCGCCACATGCTGGACGGTCAGACACAGCGGCGCACTGGGGCGACACGGTGGACATGCTGATGAAGGCCTGGGGGAGGCAGCAGCAAGAGGTGGGCGCGCGGCCTACCTGGGCAAGAACTCGAGGGCCAGCAGGAGCTGTCATCATGTCATTGAAGAGGGCGGATTGGACGTGGCCAGCCTGGCACACCATGCGCACGAAGGATGGGCATGTCTTCAACCTGATGGAGGTGTGCCCCATGGACGTGGCGGCGATGATGCAAAGAGACATCCAGACCAAGCTTTGGGAAGGATGGACGAAGGCGCCCGAGCACAGCAGCCTCGAGCCGGCGCCGTGCATCGCGCCCGCGGTGTCGCAGTTCAAGGCGCATGGTTTCCCGGGGCGCGCTAAGAGCGCGGCGAAGAAGGTATTCATCGGTGGCATCTGGGCGACGCTCAAGCTCTGCGAGTGCAACATCGTGCCGGCTGACATCTGCCTGGGCTGCGGGAACGCGGCGGGCGCACCGCGCCGCGGACTGTGCAGGTGCGAGGCTTTGAGGCAGCAGAGGCTCGAGGCACAGGCGGACTGGCAGCACGTGGCGGAGCAGCAGGAGGGCAGTTTACTGTGGGCGCGTGGTTTGGCAAGGAGCCCTGAGGCGGACTGGCGCTTCGTCGGAGCTGGCGAGGGTCAGTGCCAAGGGGCAGTGCTCGAGGGTGACGATAATGTATTCGCGGGTGGCATCGTGTGAGACGGGTCCAAGCTGGGCTACGCCGAGTGGGCGCAGACAGGCTGGGCAGCGATGTCGACCAACGAAGGCGGGAAGCCGAAGGTGCAGTTGTGGGGGCAGCAGCCGTGTACCCTACCAGTCCAGAGGAAGGTGAAGCGCGCGGAGATGTGGGCCTTCCTGAAGGTGCTGGAGAACGCGCTGCCGCCCTTCAGGATCTACACGGACCACGAGGGCATCGTCGACGGCCTCGCGAGATATGCGAGCGGTGGTGTACGAGCTGGAAGAGGCCGCATGCAGACGTGTGGCGCAGGATCTGGCACAAGGTGAAGGACGCGGACTTAGACGTGAGCGCGGGTTTCCACGTGAAGGCGCACAGGACCAAGGCCAAGATCGCGCAGTTGCAGGGAGAGGAGCTCATGGTCGCGAAGGGCAACGGCGAGGTGGACCTGCTTGCGAAGGCAGGGGCCGAGCTGGACGCGAACTTCGGCAAGCAGCAGGCGCTGGAGGAGCTGGGCGCGAAGGTGCGCTGGGCGGCGCAGAACATCGGATGGTGGTACCAGAAGATGAATGGCGAATGCCCGACGTCCCCAAGCGCGAGCCAGGAAAGCCGAAGAGAAGGATAGTCAAGCAGAAGCTAGCGTTGACAAATCACGATGTCATCAACAAAGGCAAGTGGCTCGTGTGCGTCAAGTGCGGGAAGAGAGCGGCCTCGAAGCGCGCGGGGAAAAACCCGTGGGAGTCGGAGTGCGAGCCGCCCCCGGGGAGATCCTCAGGCACGAGAAAGACGGGGGCTTCGGGGTCGCTCGAGGCATGCGCTGCTCTCGCGGCTGCGGCGGCTGCGGCAGCAGGGGCGCGAGAAAGCGGGCGTCGCGAAGGCGAAGATCGACCCGCTGTGGGCGGTCACCGCGTAGAAGTACACGGGCCACATGTGGCGCGCGTGGTGCGCGGGGCCCACTCGGCAACGAGGAGAGCGGGGCTGGGGGCAGCGTGCCCAGGGCCCTTGGAGCAGAAGGGCAAGTCTTCAAAAGACGATGCCAAAAGGACAAATCGAGATCGCATCCTCGGTGGAGAGCACCCGCAGACGGGGGGGCAGCTGCCGCGATCGCCAGTCCTGCCAGTGCAACGTGGACGGTGAGCACTACCGGGACCAGCTCTCGGACATGCTGATGCAGGTTGGGCAGGCCTGGTTTCAGGCCGCTGGGGGGTGGCGCGGGCCTGCTGGCGGAATCCTCCGCTGGGGGTCCTGGGGAGTAAGAAAAAAAGCTGAAGGCTGGGCTTCTCGGTTCCTGGTCCCCTTCTTGGGCACCTCTTGGGGCTGTCTTGGGGCTCCCTTGGGCCGTCTTGGGCGCCTCTTGGGCTGTCTTCGGGCCGTCTTGGAGCCCTCTTTGGCCTTCTTTGGCGCATCTTTGGGGCAGTTGGGCCATATTGGGGCGATCTTGGGGGGCTCTTGGGCAGTCTTGGACGCTGTGAACTTCCGGACGTCGTCTACACCAGAAATGTTCGTTTTCGAAGGGGGCGAGACGATTTTGGCTTGTTGGGGCCCTCTTGGAGGGCCTCTTGAGGCTTTCTTGGAGCTTCTCGGCGGCGTCTAGGGCCGTCTGGAGACCATCATGGGCGACTTGGAGCAATATTTCGGCGCCTCGGGGCCCCTTGGACCGTCTTCTTGGGCATCGTTTGCCGATCTTTCGAGGACTCCGAGGGCTCTTGGACCGTCTGGGCGCTCTCTTGAGGCCGTCTTGGGCGGCTCTTGGGCCGTCTGGGGGGCCTCCGGCAACGGGCAGTTGTCTGGGGCTTGCTGGTGCCTTGGGGGGGGGGGGGGGCACTTGTCGCGTCGGGTCCCCCAGCAGGGGCCGCCTCGCGCGCGCGAGTTTGGTATATTGTTAACTTGTCACTGTAGATCTTAGCACGCCTCTGGCCCGTTGGGCCGGCGTTTTTTTGCCAAACGTGCGGACTTTTTGCGAAGTCGGGCGGGCGGCAGTTAGTTCAGGTTTGTGACCGGCGCCACCCCGACATGCTAGTGCCATGTGTGCGTTGCCCCCCCAGGGGCCGCGCGCGCTCCGAGAAATCTTATATTGAAGTGGGCTCCGGCCAGTGCCGCCGATCCGGGGCGCTCCGCAGGATGATTACAGGATGATGATGATGATGATGATGATGATGATGATGATGAAGATGATGATGACGAAGACGACGACGACGACGACGACGCGACGACAACGACGACGACGACGACTGGGGGGGAGCTGGGTTGCAGGGGGAGGGTCTGCTCTGCAGGGG